ATAAAAAATGGTTTTTAAGAAATCATTATAAATATTCAATATTGAATTTTGAAAAACAAACCATTTTCTTCAGTTTAAAAAAATTAATTTAATAAAAATTCACTTATAATTTTAAGTACTTCATTCACTAAAACTTGAGTATAAAAAGAAAACTTAAGAAAGTAAATATAAATAAAGACTAAACTGTCAAGTAACACACGTGAATCGTTTGTTTAAATTGTAAATATCACATTCACACTGATTAAAGCGCCACATCGGGGAAAAATGGCGAAACTTTGTTCATTTTGAAATTCAAAAATTATATTTTAGTTAAAAATGAAAAATAATTGTGAAAATAGTATTAAAAAAGGCACTAAATAAACCGTGACTTAAAATAGAAGCGAGTCACGAGACTTTACGCGTAATACAAAAGATTTGCGGAGAGTGAGAGCGAAGCATGTAACGATCACTGAGCTTGAAAACCTTGGTGGCCATATTGTTAAAGAATTACGTCACAATTGGCGCCTTTATTTGATTTTTCAAGTTTGCTTAGGAAATAGAAACAGTATCACTGACAGTATCACACGCACTGTTTAATACTCTCGACTATTTAGAGTTTCCTTTAAAAATAATTAACCAGTTAGTCATCTACTCTGTGATAAGCTCAATTATAGTTTAAATCATTCAATTTATTATAGATCCACTAATTTCAAACTTTCAGACTCGTTGAGAAAGAAAATTTTTAACTTTATTTGTAAAAATCAACAATTTTCTAGGTTATGTTAAAAAGTGTATGTTTTTTTAATTAATAAATATATGTTTCAATTCTAGCACTGGTTAATTAAAACCGTTAATTGGAGATTATTTTACGTGCGAATATTCTATTTAGAAATTTTTGTTATCTTTTAATAATATACTATTATTACTATTTTTATAAATATAAACAGTACCTTGCATGACATGTTTTTAGGCTTTCATGGAAATAATAATCGATATGAAAAGTATACTACTTTAATTCAAAACTAATTTCTACTTCAAAATTCTCATTAATAATCTTTTCTTTTCATGTAAAATGTCTTTTTCTTAAATATGGTCACTTTATTAAAGGTAAAGGGCTCCAGAAGAAGGGTTACGGGTTTTAGTGGGTCGGGCTGGTAGTAGGTCGCCAGTTTATTAAATTTATTATAACATTAATTTATTTATCTTTTTTTTTTAATATTTCCTTTTGTTTCATTTTACCAACCCCACATAACCTTGCAGTGCGGAATCCAAGGTATCTGTAGGCAGATTTCCCAAAAGTCCCTAAGCAAAAAAAAAAAGAAAAAAATGAAAAATGAAATATTTAAAGAAAAATAATGAAATAATTATAAATGAAGAATTTATAACTCAACCGATATTAAGAAATACTCGCTATAAAGGCAACCATTGATACAGGTTCGAATCCTCTCAGATGCACAGTGCATTCGACAACAAAGCTTATATTTTTAGAACAAAAATTAATTTAATTTTGATAATATTTATTTGTCAACAACATTTTATAGATACATTATCTATATATATATATATATATATATATATATATATATATATATGTCTCCTTAATGCCGGTAAAGTCGAAATTTATTCTTCATTCGTAATTATTAGATATGTATCTTAACTCGGCGAAGTTAATATATATCTTTAAAAATAATATACCACATAACAATGATTTGGGAGTATACATTTTTAAAATGGTCAAAAGTAATTATTTAAAAGGAATTTTCAGAATTGTGAAGAGAATGAGAATTTCAAAAACTTTGTATGTAATTCAATACGTGACATTTTGTAAACGAGTAACACACGTGTGACTAAACTTTTGTTTCCAAACAGACTCACGTTTCGTTTTGAACTACACACGATATTTTTATGAGCCAGACTTTTTACAACACTACGTGTCAATTCTCGTTAAATGTATTACAATCAGTTTAAATATTTACATATGTGATGAAAATATAGATTTGTTTTTTGTGTATATTTAAAAAAAATATTTGAATTGTATTTTAAACTCTCTTTTAATGATCTTATATTTGTAACATTGTGTAAAATATAGGTACAATATTACAATTTAACTTTATTTTCTAGTACTGGCTATCTGCACGGAAAAAATAAGATCAGCAGATTTTACGAAACTAATTTCGCACTAGCGGATATTTAAGATTCCTAGACGAAGTTTTTCAAAAACCCAGAAACTTTCACTACTTTAAGCAGAACAATTGTCGAGAAACTGCAACCAGTGTTGTAATTTATAAAACAAGCTTGAATGTAGAAATGTTTCGTATTTTCTGGTGAACATTTTATCAGAAAATGGTAAAAATGTTTCGTGCAATCTAAAAACGCGTGGTTTGAGTTTTCACTTCGCTGTCTATCGTGAATTCTCGAACACAGAGTTTCGTAAAATTCTATACGGGGTGTACCAAAAGTCGCGTTATAAATAGATATGTTGAAGCTTGTCTCGTCGCGTCGGTATTAACTTGTCTGCTGTATATAGAGATAATATGGAAGGAAAAAGAGAACTGCTTTACCTGCCGGTAACATTTGGATAATTGTTTTCTTTTACGTATTTCACATTTCATTGTTCCAAATTCGTAACATTTTTTATGTGATTTTGTAATCCAAACTTTTAATTATTATTAATTTCTTTTAATTTATATTCCAATAAATTTCATAGTTTATCATAATATTTACCGATGACAATAAATGTACATATATATTAATTTCTCAAAATTTTAATTAATTCTAATTTTTATTAGTTTTAACTGTTATTATACTTCAAATTTTAGACAATTTAATATTAAAATTTTTTGAGTTTGAATTTAATTTTGAAAATTTTTTTGCAATTTATTTATAGTTTAAAATTAAGAATAAAATTATTTTTTAAAAATTGAAAAATTTTATAGAGATTTTATAACCAATTATAATTAAAAATGTTATTTTAAAAACTATAAAATATTTTGTATAACTTTTAAAAAAATGATTTTTCTAAAAATTAATATTCAGTATATTGAAATTTCTCACAAGCGCAGTTTTAATCTCCTCAGTTAGTATATAAAGAAACTCAATTCTTTCATCTACAAGTGCGAGTTATATTGTATGTGCGTTGCGTCAGAATTCGTTTATATGTATGCGTATTTCCGTTAAGTTAGTGTCAGAATAAAATAAGCCAATCCAAGCGAACCATTGCGTTGTAGAGGGCAGTCACATGGGTCGAACCAATCATCTATCTCCTATAGAAGACGAGAAAAAATGGTCTTGAGAGCTCATTGGTACATTAAGAAATTCTTTTTTCTGCTTTATTCGTTTTTTTCTCCGTGAATTCTGATTTTTTTCCGTGGCGCATGCGCTTCAGGCTAAACATTTTACAAAACTCTTGAATTAGAACGTCCAACCGATCATTTGTGAATTCCATAGAATTTTTTTTGAGTTTTCGAGAAACGCAGTCATCATATATTACTATTGCACTGTAAAAACAAGTGTCTCATTTTGAGACGTTTTGTCCCATATTTGAAACAGGTAAGATGTTTTGTGTCCACATATTTGAAACAGATATGTGTCTCATTTTAAGACACATACATGTCTTAAGCTGAGATGCTTGACGTGTTTCACTGATTGTGCGTTTAATAGAAAAAATCCGTCATGCACAGTAATTTCATGCTTTTTTTCTTCAAGAAAACTGACAGTTTTAGGTTAGTTTTTCACATTGTTAATAGACCAATGAAATGTGATCATGTGATCATTTCACAAACTCTTAATATTGAATCTTTTTTATCGACATTAGGTACATAACAAACAAAATAAAAAGTTTAAATATTAAATATTAATTTAAATAGTTCCACACATATTATTTGAATAAATAAATAATAATACCATTGTTGAAAGAAGAACATTTATTTATTCATAATAAGACAAATTGTGGAAAATATATTTTTTAGACATTACTGACACTGGAGTTATGGCGTTTTTATCGACTAAACAAAATGCGAATGAAAAGTAATTTTGAAGCTGCCCGTACAATGCGAGTGCTGCCAATAAAAAAAACAAAACAAAGTACATAACCTGAAAGTGTCAAATTTTGTTATTAATAAATAATAAGAAACCTTTATTTTTAAATGATTCTAAAACGAAATTTTACTGTGTGCGTAGCTATTTTGCGCATGCGCTAAGATACTTTAAGTATCTTACCCGCTTAGTGTTTCATTTTGAGACACGATATGTGTTTCGAGTATCCATCTCACAGTCAGGAGACGTGATATGTGTCTTATACGCTTTAAGTCACGTTAAATGTTTTAAAATGAGACACGATATGAAATTAAATGTCTCAATATAAAACATATTTTGTATCTCAATGGTTTAAACACGTAAAGCAACTCATTTTGAGACACTTGTGAGATACCAGTTTTTGCAGTGTGATTCTGTTTTATCTTATACTAAACTCCTCTCCGTATCCGCTATTCCAAAATTAGTTTCGTAAAATGTACTAAATTAATTTTTTCCGTGTGTGTTACACGCAAGAGGCCATTTAAACAAGAAGAAGAAGAAGAACTTTATTTTCAACGTAACAAGAAAGACTTTATTTAAAGAATTTTTTAACGCAAGATTGATTTTAACCAACTTTTTAATTTTCTCTCCTTTTTTATTGAATCAATCAGAATAAAGAAACTTGAGAATAACTTCCTTACTTTGTCGACTAGAGTGTTATTGCATAATCGCCACGGTTCTTTTTTTTATTATTAAAAATATTCAACTTTGATTGATATTTGTTTAAATGTGTTAGAATGCGGTTTTCTCTTACATCAACAAACTTTGAAACTTTTCATTTTATAGTTCAGAGAAATTTGAAAGCTTTGATAAATTTCCCTCATTTTATAGAAAAAAAATTAATTTGATCTTCAATCAATATTTCCGAATTTCTAACAAAAGTAATCAATTTTTCATTTGAGAAGGAATATTTGTGAATTAAAAGTAAAAAAGTTTAAAAAACTCACCTCTCGAAACTTTGTCGATGGATTCAAAGCGTCCTTCAACTTTATTCCGCAAAGAGTCGAGATCGAATGGAGTTGTGAATCCATGATCCACACTGCGACTTTTGCTCCTAAAAAAGAAAAGATTTCAATAAATTTATTTAAACCATAGGTAATATTTATTTTTTGAAACATTTAACCTTGTAAGAAATACTATTTTTTAAAAATAAATATTCTCTTTAAATGCAACTCTTTAGAGAACCACATTATCACAAAAAAATTGATATACACTGTTAGAAAATTCTGTTGTGATTTTACAGCAAAAGTACAGGAAACAATTATCCATCAAAATAATAATGTAATTTTACTTTACTAAAGTGCTGTAAATTTACAGTATACCATGTATTTCGGAAATATTCCCTACTATTAATTCGGAAATTCTACCATTTGAATATTTACATAAAAAATCAAAACTGTTTATATTGTTTTCTGATATGTTATAATAAAAGTAAATTAACTAAAAAAAAATTTTTATTGGCATTTTATTATCATTATTACGGAAATGCGATGCCACGATTTGAACCCTTAGTCGTATATAGTGTTGTCTATGTCTTGTTTGGAGCCATCAACCTTGGGAGCTGCGCCTAGACGCGCTCGACCAAGGGAGGCTATGAAAGTCTCTTGCAAAGGGGCCGTCCATAAATTACGTAAGGCCATTTGGGTGGGGAGGTGGGTGGACAATTTTTCTATGTTAACTTACATGGGTGCACATGGGTGGGTACCTGGTTAAACGAATTTCTTACGTAAGATATATTTTCTTACACTACTCCATAAATTTCGGAAATTCTCAAGCTATGATAGGGTCGTTCCAGAATGAGCCAAAACGCAACGAAGACGCGACGCGTCCCAATGCCAAAGATGTTAATATTAAGCTAAATTTCTGCATTAATATTTATTATTTTGACCAAAGGAAAATATGTTTAATAAATTTTATATAAATTAAGTATATTCTAAGAAATACAGAACTATACACTAAACACCAAACATTTGTTTATTAATTCATTTTATTAGTTAAACAATTTTTTGCAATGCTACTAGTAAATTCTCGTAAAAAAATACCTAAGCAAAAAATTACGTAAGATAGGGGGGTGGGTGGTTCAAAATCTTACAGAGCCTTACAGACGTGGGTGCATGGGTCAAAATTTAAGAAAAATGCCTTACGTAATTTATGATAATAATTATGATCTTTATAATTGGGACGGTCCCAAAGTACTATACATATATATTGGCCCGACGCGAAATAGTCATTATAGGGTCAGAATTCGTGAAATTTTCACAGAAAATAAAAAGTATTTTTTTTTAAATCGAAATGTTGAAAAAACATTTCTATTTGACCTTAAGAATGTGTCCACCAAAAAACAAAAAAAAAATTATTTTTTATAAAAGTTATTGCAAAATTATTTTTTTAAAACTTTTTAAACAAAATTTGATTTCTCCTTAATGAATGAACCGATTTAAATGAACCAGGCGGGAATATAAAGGGGATAAAATATACTTTTGTTCAGAATTAGAAAATTTTTAAAAAGTTTATTTTTTAATAATTATTTAACAAATTTTTTATAAACAATTAATTTTTTTTAATGTTCTGCGCCTTTTAAAAATTTGAAAAAAATATTAACATACACTTAAAACTATAAGAAATCAAAATCCGTTGAGAGAATTTTTGAGCGACCATTATTTTAAAAGTTATAATGAAAATTATATTGAACTGAGATGCGATTTTGATGATTTTCAGAATAAAAACGTTATACATCTCCGAACTAAAGTAAAGTTAAATTAAAATTTTGCATAAGACAAAAAATAAGAATAAACTAAATTACAGTATCAAATATAAGAAACATGTGGACCATACTCTATTCTTCTTTACAGTCTAAAATTATTCACCACTAAAATGCAAAATCAAAAAGTAATGTAGAAAATTACATGTAATAATTTACTATTTACATTATTTTTTTATAATAATTTAACTAATTAATTAAAAATTATAAAATATTATATAATTTTTTACTCTATTCCATTTATTATGTATATATTATAATGGATACAGAAATTTTCCAAAAATATTTTTTATTGAATTTCTTTGGTGCTAAATAGAAATTTTATATTAATTGCATGAAATAAATGTGTTAACTACAGTAAATCTTAATATTAAACAAATTTTCAGTATTTTAAAAGAATTAATTTGTCTAGTTTTTCTACAGAACCGTTGACCAGAATTTATAAAGTTGGGCTAGATAATAACTTGATGAAAAAAGCGTGACACTCCATTCCAGTTATTAGCCAGTTGGCTTGTAAAGTAACTAGACAATTTCAAGCGCGACTGGACAGTTCCTTTATAATAACTAGGACAAATTTCTACTAGGGATATATATATATATATATATATATATATATAAAAAATAAAAAATTATTAAAAAAAAAAAATTAAAAAAATAAAAAAATAAAAAAAAAAAAAAAAAAATTAAATAAATTTTTTTTTTTTTTTTTTTTTTTTATTTAATTTTTTATTTTTATTTTTTTTTTATATATATATATATATATATAAGGTATCTTTTGGCCACAGGAAAAATTTTTTATTTTGAACACACAAATTCTTTAAAGTATTTTTTTAAATTGTCAAAATTTTTATGTAAAAAATGGCCCCAAGATGGACACCTTTTTAATAATCTCTATAAAATCTCACAAAACTATTGAAGATTGTGTATAATCAAAAACAAAAGTAAATAAGAATATAAGAAGAAAGTCTGAAACCATTTACATCTTACAATCAGAATGAATGAAAAGTAGCCTATTTTTATATGCTTAAACTAGATTAAGTCAATTCAGGCCTTAGAATAATAGTAAGAATTATTTTAGAAGTAAGTAGATATTTCGATCCAAGGAAGGTAAAAGTCTCGACATATTGGTGGTGTCCATCTTATAGGATTTCTAAACTGTCCATCTTAAGGTCCATGACCCAATTTTTTAAGCCCCAGAAAAAATTTGTATTCAAATAAAATATGAAAAAAATAATTTTAGAATATTATTGTATAATACATAAATAGTATTTTAACGATAAGTACCAATTGAAAATCAAAAAATTAAATAACTTTACCGACTTAAGAAGAAACTGTAAGAAAACTTTGTGGAACACAAACAGCACGTGTGAGCAGAATAAAAACAAATTGCTTTGTTTCTTTCAAATGTGCATCAAAAATTTCGTCTATAATAACAACAAAAAGCCTAATGTGCTGCTACTTTATTCAAAAATTTTGAACGAAATGTCCATCTTGGGGCCCTCTCCCCTATATATATTCAAAATATACGAGTTATTGAACTGAGTTCAACAATTTAATGTATTGTCCCCCACATCAAACTATATGTTTAAGCAATATATATTACAAAATTGGAGTTTCAACACTCTAATTAACTTCGTGAGCGTAATAGTGACCTAATTTAATAAATTAGTTTAGTATTTTCTGTACAATTAAAATAATAAATGATTCAAATTTTGGAATTTTCAATATATTTCGTAAATTACTGTTTTAGAACAGTACAATATAAATATTATGAATGTTAAAGGTAAAAGAGCAAGAGTTGGAATTTAATTTGTGAAATGGGATAATTCGATTAAAAAAAATATATATAATATGAAAGGATTGAAATGAAATTGACAAAGTTAATAACTACAAAACAATTACACAAGCAGTATATAATTAATATCAGAGGTCAAAATAAATTCAAAAACGTTGATCATGCCAAAAAGTATAATCTAATATTAAACATCAAGCGTGCAATAAATTCTTATTTTATGGTCAACAAACCTTTACGAGAGAACTTTTTTTGAAATATGAAGACTCCTATTAAAATTGTTGAATTTTTTTCGTTTTATTTTATTTTTCATTTTATTTTAATTTTTTCTACTCTGAATACATTTTTCATTCAAACTGATATAAAACGAGGTTTTTATGTACTTAAGTACATAATTTTATTTTACTACTAAAAAGAAAATATTCTAAAAATAATCACTCGGTTTTGTTAATTTTTTTTATTATAAAAATAACGTGAGCATAATAAAGACCTTGTAGTTTTACAAAAGAACTTTATGGGTAGATAATTTTATAGAGTCAATAAAATAATAAAAACAAAATTTTATAATCACATGTAATCTAAGTTTTGAATGAAAACAAAATTTTTAGCGCTCAAATTGATAGGTAGAAAAAGTGTTTATTTAAACAATATTTTAATAAAATAAAATTAATTTTTTCATTAAATTTTTTCCAATTTTTTCAATTATTTATTCATTGAAATATGCTGATTTTTTTTAAAATATAAAAATTTTCGATTTTATTTTTGATTTTTTCAAATTTGTAGGTACACTATATAGACACAACAGAGATTAAAAAAGACAAAATATTTTATGGTCCAATTTTCAAATTTTGAAATATATTGAAATTAAAATATTCAAATGGTTTATTTATTTTATAACTTTATACTGAAAAAAATTTAATTGATTCAAATAACCGATTAATTGACTATTATCAATTAAATATTTACTTGAATCAAATAATATTTATTGGAGTCAATTAAATGGTATTTGAACCAACAATTTCAGTACTTGAAGCAAATACCATTTAATTGACTCCAATAAATATTATTTGATTCAATTAAATATTTAATTAATAATATTCAATTAATCGGTTATTTGAATCAAATAAATTTTTTTTTCAGTGTACAAAGAAAAAGAAGGAATAAAATAAAAAAATATTTTTTTCTGGATTACAAACCTGAAATAAGTTGATGTGAGATTTTCCGTGGATCTTGTGTGCAAGACATCCTGGGACATCCGTCGAGATCTACAAGAGAACAAAAAATGCAAAAGAAAACAAAAATGAAAATACATGCTAGCAAAAGTGTGCAAAAATTAAAAACTAAATTAGAGAAAACTAAGTACAAGTAAAAATTGCAAATGAAGCAAGTAAAAAGTATACGCAAATAATTTTAATTAAGCTCACTAGAAAATGCAATATTTTTCTTCGTCTATGTCATTTTATAATCAATATGCAGAAATTATTGGGATTTTATTCGATAAATAAAAATCATGATGGAATGATGAAATTTCTCTTTTTTGCTACTACGTGAGGGAGAAAAAATACAGACGTAAATTTGTATGCTTTTTAAATACATTTTATAATTAATTTATTTATTGCAGAAATATTATATTTAATAAGTTTTAATGGTGAAAATTTTGTACATTATATAAAATTTTTTCTTTTAATTGTTTTCTGGATCTAGTGCAAGCACCTTTTTGTTCAGCTTCAATAATGTTTTTATAATTTTCTACAAAGTTTACCATTTTTGTAACCATTGACAGTTTCAAGATGCCTCAACAATATAATTATATGTATGTGTAATCTGCATACAAATCAGCTTGTTATTAAGTTTCATGCATACGAATGTTTTAACTCATTTTCGAACTGTTCTTACAATGTGGATCTAGAAAAGTCTTTTTTCTTTTTGAGAATAAAAACCTCAAGAATAATTATAATAATTAAATGACTACCTTATAAGAAATAATTTTAGAATGGAACATTAATTTTCATGAAGTAATTACACTTAACTAAATTGTCTGCAATTATAGTGATCTTATTTCATCTATTAAAATCAGTTAATGAAAGTTCCTATTAACGTTTCAATTCAAGTCTCTTTTGGAGAGCTGATCAACTATCTAAGATTTCGCAGTTCAATTTAATGGAGTGCTCAATGGCAGATATGAAAGAGAAAAAGAGAGAACCAACTTGAGAATTATTGGTTTAATATTTATTTATTTTGTTCACATATTTAAGACGTAAACTAAGACTTACACCGTAGAAGTTTCTTTACAATATTTATACTAATTTGTTCAGAAAATTTTTTTTCCGAAAAATTATCCTAATTTTCGGTACCCAATTCTCGAAGTTACCCATTTAGCACGTAAATCGTAATATTAAAATGTCCACCTAATAGTCATATTTCTGGGAAGTTATACTGCACTATTACGGTAACGTGGAGTAGTAGAAAATATAGGTAACATTAAATCGCAGAAAACGACTGATCTCTATATTAACTGTATGGGCGATTGCTATAGAAAAGTCCGCTTCCGGTGTAAAAATAATTGAGGATGATTCCAGAATAGCTATAAGAATCGTCTCGTCTTTCAAGACAATGCGATGCGCGTACATACATTTTTGTTTACTGCCCCTAAAAATGACGGGCTTGCGCTTGAAGGACCCGAGTAGAAATTTAAACCCTACTAAGACTCTGAAAATGTAGTCGTAAAGTAGGGTCTGATTTCAATACAATTTTTAAAAATTAGACCCTCCCCGAGTCGAAATTTAGAGCCTACTTAGCCTCTGAAAATGTAGGGGTTATTTAGGTTTAGCAGTCGTAAAGTAGGATCTGTTTTTAATACAATTATTTAAAATTAGACCCTCCTTTGACTCCCAAAACAGGCTGAAATTTCCCATTCTTCCATTTGGAGAAGTAAAGGAGGGTCTAATTCGAAGAAACCTATACCTTACTTTTAAACCTCGTAGACCCTACTTTCATACTCCTAGACCCTACAACTAGAAAAAGAAAATTTTGAAGAGTTGCTCAGATTCAATTGAAGCACTTGGGATGAGTAAAAGTGGAATTTTGTGTTTTATCAATTTGGAGTACTTTTTGCATTTGTAGTGTTTCAAGTAATGCATTAAAAAATAATTCAAAATTTTCTTTTAGAATGTAGGGTCTAGGAGTATGAAAGTCTACGAGGTTTAAAAGTACGGTATAGGTTTCTTAGAATTAGCCTGTTTTGGAAGTCAAAGTAGGGTCTAATTGTATTAGAATTAGACCCTACTTTATTACTCCTATCACTCAACAAACCTTGAAAATTCAGGGTGAAAGTAGGGTTTAAATTTCGACTCGGGGAGTGTCACGACGGCAATTTTGAATATTTCGACTTAAATTTTTTTACAAATACTTGAATATATAATAATGATGACGGTTTATTTTAATTTAATGTATCAGTCATATTTTGTTAGAAAAAAAAATCCGCCAAATCGGACTGTTTTTTCCCTTGTCACAGTAGACTTCCCCCTTAAGCTGAGTCCAGAAAATCCAAAATAAGATAGTCCAAGCTGCACGGAGAGAAAAATCAAGCGTCTTTAGTATGGAGACTTCCTATGGTAATTTTGTATGAACGCCCTGCTTAAGAGGCGTGTCCTTATACCTCAGTTGCATGAAACATATACACTAGAACCTCCAACGATTGCAGCGTGACCTTCTTGTGTGCAATAGATGGAGGTTTTCACCTTGGCGCCATCTTTCCATAAAAGTGTCAACACTCAGGGCCGTACACTCTCACATATTTTGTATTGGCGTAAAATGTCATTTTTATCCTCGCCATTTTTTATTTTTTTTTTAAATATTATGTTTAGTTTCAATGCCTAAGTGCGTTCTTTTACGTTTTTGACCTTTTTCAGTCTCATGTTGAAATATGAAAATACAACTTTAAAAAACGGGGCGCAAAAGAACACTAAACTTAGAACAATACTGCCTTCGCATTAATATGGCGGTGTCCTCCCCTCTCACCCCCCTAGCGGATGACCACCAAACTTTCGTAAACAACTGCAATAGATAGAGATGCAATCGTTGGAGGTTCTAGTGTACTAAAATAGCATGGATCTCTTGCAATCGTAGTATACTGACGTCCCATGCGTATAAAGGTAGAACTTTTATGCTGATAACGTAGAAATTGATACAAATACAGCAGAAATTTTACGCCTATTGCGCATGTGCATTCTTTTACTAAATAAGGTTAACTGTCCATACTAAAAACGTTTGATTTTTCTCTCCGTGTGGTTCGGGGAAATCCAATATGGCTGTTATTGGAGGACAAGCAATGCATTGCAGTCAATGGGACGAAATCAGTTTTTCGTCCATAACTTTTTCAATATTTATTTTTAAACCAAAGTGTAATGACAAATTATTCTTTATTTATCGAAAGCAATTTGAAATTTTCTAAAAACGAAAAAAGTACTTTTTATGGACACCAAAATATTAAATGTCTAAAAAACCATATGAAAAGCACACTGAAAGAAACTTTGTTACAATATTTAATATTTTAGGGTCACTTTTTAGTGTATTTAGTTACAAGTGTAGGACATTTTGGTATAGTAAGAATTTTCGTTAGTACTTTTAAGAATGCTTAGAAGTAAAATAAAGAAATATAATATATATTTGAAAAGACAATTTAGTATAATCTTCACAAAATTCAAAATGTTTGTATTAAAACTCGAAATGTCAAATTCTGATACGTCTGTACGATTAACTGTTTTTCAGTTTAATTTTGAAGGTGTTAAATAAAAATTGTTCTTCAAAAAACAATACAATGTTTGATTTTTTATTAATAAATTATAATTTTTATTTTTGGTTTTAAACATTTTAAAATATAATTTCACCTGTCTCACAAGCGCAAAAAAATCTCTCTGTTTAGTATATAAGACAGCTCACATATTTTCACAGTATCGTGAATTATGTATTTGTATGCGAAGTCTTATACACTGCGTTTATGTATGCGTTTCGTCGTTAGTGTGTGTTTGCCGATGTGAATTCTCAATGCTTTATATCTGTAGTGTGTGTGTGTGTGTGTATGTATGTTAAGAATAAAAATTTAGAAAATCCATTGTTGTCTATCATTGAGTAAAAAAAGGGAGTAAACTTTGTCGAAGAGTTTGGTCGTCTGCTGTCACCAAAAATTCGGAATTTAAAATAAGAAATAATACTTTTAATTTCTTGAATATTATATTATATTATGCTAAAATACTGTATGAAATCGAGTACAGAATATACGCTTTTGTGTTTACAGAAGATCAGGGAAAATTATTTAAAAGTAAAAGTTGTTTTTCGTGATGAAACCGTATTGTCTAACAAGTGAAAATTATCAAATTTGGCATGCATAACAGAATCACTTGCCAAAAGGCAGATCGATGAAACACCCATCTTAACTATAATTTTGAGAAAATCTGTTTCTTTTATTAATATATAGGTAGGGGAGAGTGGGGCAAGACGGGGTACCTAAGGTTTAAAGCGCAAAAAAACGAAAATTATCGAATATATACTTTATTATTATTTTTAATTATGATCTTTGGGAATCAGTCTTTCGTAAAAAAGGCGTACAAAGGCCATCTGTTTCTTAAAAAAGCTTATAATTAATAATATTGAAAAAAATGCAAAACTCCCCATCTTGCCCCACCGGCGGGTAAGATGGGGTACCCGTAGGGGCAAGATGGGGTACTAACAAAAAACAACCTATTTTTGTCGACAAATTTTACAAGTAAAAGTTGCATCTTCATCTTCATGCATAACTGCAGTGAGCCCATTGGCCGCAGACAAAAAAAGCAGGCCAGCCTTCATTTGAGTCTAAATAATAACCATTACAATAGAGACAAGGTGTATTTTCCACTTTACCATCGCTAATTGATGATTTAACCTGACAAGCTTTTTTCTTTTTGGTCACTCTTATTTTATTCAGTCTTGATTTTAGTAGTTTTCTTAACTTCCCTTATTTCTCTTTTTTTGCTTAATTTGTGAACCCCGTCTTGCCCCACTCTCCCCTACCCTATCTTGCCCGCACCTACGAAATTTAATAAAACGATTAATTACTACAATTTACGATTCAACAAAGAAAAAAAACATATGCTTCTCTTCTTCTGTAACCCTTGACAGTTAGAAAAAAATTTATACAGTTCATTAACTGTTATTATTAAATAATAAACGCCTCCTAAAAAAAGTGAAAAAATGACAAGAAAATCGTCGAAAACAGTTTTTTTAGTAA